CAATATCATGAACGTAAACATCAAATAAAAACAATTGATGATGATTTACATTATATTGATATGCAATTAAAAGATAAAATTATTCAACATGTCAATATTCAATCACCTATTTGTATTACACCACTTTCGGCTGGTAGCAGTGGCTATGGTTCAGATATGAATGAAATTTAAATGATACTTCTATAGATATTTATTTATTTTGTTATGTATATGAATATATTTACTTGTCAGATATTTTTTTTTTGTTTATGCATTCAGTTGTGAAGTAAAACATTTGTCTTTCTCTCTTTCTTTCTTTTTTTATTATTGAACAAGGAAATAAAAAAAACATTTAAAAAAGTTCAAGTCTTGGTAATTATGTTGTATTTTACTAAAAACACAAAAGATAGAAAGGTAAGAAATGAAATATTAACTTACAGGTTGATCAATATCATTAATTCTCGAGATAAGTTCGGCCTTTTCTCTACCCCATCCAGCAGCATTTTCTTGAAACTAAAAATAAAGAAAAATTCTAGTATTGGTATATCAATAAATTTTATTCATCTTACTCGAGCTCTGAGATTAGCCAATTCTTGTTGATAAGTTAAATTTTGTCGTACGAGATCTTCCCGTTGTTTTAATAGAGCTTCTCGTTGTCGTGCAGCTTCATCACGTTGTTGTGTTGCTTCATCTCGTTGTCGAGCAATTTCAGCTTGTCGTTTAGCATCTTCGTTGTCCACTATAGTAACTGTTTTCTTAATTGCAGTAGCTTTACGCGGTAGTCCTTTCTATAATTAACATAAATTTTAAATATGTTGATATTGAAAAGACAAAATTTCTTACATGAATTGAACATCGATGATCATGATCGTGATGATGGTGATCATGTAAAGTATGCGTATGGCCTGTATGACTATTGTGTTCTACTACAGTACGATTTTCTACAGCAGGACGAGTTTCTACAACAGTTCGTTCCACGATCACAGGTCGTTCTACTATTATTGGTCGCTCTATTATTCTAGTCTCCTGTCTATTTGTTTGACGTCTATCAAAATCTGTAGTAAGTGAAGCATGTTGTGACAAGAAAGTTTGATCAACATCAGTAAACATTCCTAAATAATCAAATATTTCTCAATAAAAGGAAAAAATATGAATGTACCTCTTGATCGTTTATCTCGCATATAATTATTAATCATTGATTCAAGTTTTTCAATGACAATTTCTTGATGTCGAACTGTTTCTTCAAGTCCATCCGCTTTTCCTAAACGTTCTCTCATTAGACGTAATTCAATTTCACGTGCTTGCATTGTTCGAACTAACGCATCATATTGATCACGTAATTCACCTTTCTATAAATAAAAAAACAATCAATTGAATAGTTTAAAAACAAAATTGATATATACTCGAGCTATGTCTTTTTCATAAGTACTTATTTTTCCATAATTTTCTTTTAATTCAAGTTGTTGAGCAGATATTCTTGCAGATAAACGATCTAAATAATATATTCAATTTTACAACATAAATAAGAATTCTTCTTACTAAATATATCTCGTATTTTTTCTTTATCAAGTTTATCACCTTCGAATATTTCATATAGAACCTTTTTTTTCTTATCAAAATTATCAATTCGCATTTTTAAATCTTGATTTGCAGCTGTTATAATACCAAGTTGTTGACGTAATTGTGTAACATCTACTATTACACGTCGAATAGCTGATTGATAATTAGCAACTTCACGTTGAAAATAATCAAACCAACCATCAATATCATCATCACTACGTGGAGGAAAATTAACTGGTAACATCGTACGATATTCTGTCGGAAGATCAGTCATATCATATTGATTAATTCGTGGAACATGAAAACGAACACCCTACATATACAATTTTTTTATCGTTAGAAAAAAAATATGTCATTTACATCTCCTTTATCGATCAGTTGAATTGATGGTAGAATCTTTTTAAAATAAAAGAAAATTATTTATTAATTCAATAAAATATAAAGTATCATACACCATATTGTGATCCTCCTCCATAGAATTGTGGTGCAATAAATGATCCTGGAATTATCTGTGCGTAAAGATGCGTAAAAGGTTAATTATATATGTATAGAATCTTTCCTTACTGGTGAACCTGTTTGCATAACAGGTTGTTGTTGTTGTTGTTGTGGCATCATTGGAGGTAAAACAGGTTGATCTGTAGTGACTTGAAGATACACAGGTGGCGCAGCGCCAGCACCATGTCGAACACCTTCGACAAAATATGAAGGTAATATTGGCAGATTACTAGCAGCAAATCCTACAAGATTTTTTCCTGGATGTCTTTCTGCTATGAGACGAAGTAATACTTCCGATGTTAAATATTTTGAACTTTCTGCCACTAGTTGACCATCACTTTCAACCAGCATACCTTTTTAGAATAAAGTATATAAAACAAATATTCTCGTTATAATCATCATCATCATCAATAATTTACCATCTGTTCTCATTCCATCAGCTGAATTCGGTGCTGTTAATGCATCATATGTTCGTGTATCTAAACGAACAGTGACCCATCCAAGTAAACCTTTAATAAACCAATTTGGATTATTATTAATTGGTCGAAATCCATAAAATTCAATAACAAGTGCAGCTGAATTTGAAAACATATTATCTTTTTCGTGTTCATGTGAAAATAAATAATTATGCATCCATGTTGGTACTTTTGACTAAAATTAAAATAAACAAATAAATTGTTCCTTTTTATTCTTAATATAAATACTTCTTTCGATGCTAATGATACTTGTGGAAAACCACCATAAGAATAAGTTGCTATATTAAAATCTTGTGCTGATGGCATTGTTATTTTTCGAAAATCAATACCCAATTGTGGATTATCCTGATTACGTAAATTATCATGTCTAAAAATATGCATATCAACAATTTGATTAGTTTAGTCATAAACTCACCTATGAGAAAAAAAATAACACATACTTATATGTTTCATAGTCAGGTACAATTCGTGCAACAGCATATAAAACTTCCGTTTTTATTAATGGTGCTTCGAAACGATTAAGTAAAACTTCCAAACCAAAATAACGTATATCTTCTTTTGATAATGAACTTTGTTTACGCATTATAGATAGAAAAAGACTAGTGGTTTGAGATGTTTGGGTTAATGTATGCTGTAAATTTACATGATATTGATAGAATGGTTCTAACCATCGCCATGGAAAACGATGTTCAGCTATAGTTCGTTGTCGTGGCTCATCAATAATTAATATAATAACCTCTAGAAATATTAGATAAGTTTCATATTCTAATTAATAAATTTTTTTTTCTAATCTACCTTCAGAATGATTCGTATCTTCCAATATATCAGCATATATCATTTCATTCCAATGTGGTGAAATACCTTCAATAACATTTGTTGCATTAATCGTTTCACCAATATCTTGTGTAGCCATAGTTGAACGACTTTGTCTATAGATATAGCAAAAAAAATGAATAACATTTGTCAAAATAAAATCATTACGCTGTAACATAACATCGTGGTTGACGACCATCAATAAAAGGTAAATTAGCTGCACCATGTACTAATATATGAAGAAGATCTTTACTACGTGGAGCAACATGTGGAAATAATCCACTATATTTTGCCATAGCCATTACAGGTGGTAGATCGTACTAGGCAATTTTTAGAAGAAGAAAAAAATGTGTTAGCTTGATTTTGTAAATATGTATGCTTCACAACCGATCAACAGTCACCAACAATCAGTAGAATAAACAAAATCCTTATTTTCTTTTTTCTTTCTTTTCGACATTATTTCGTCTTTTTTACCCCTTTTTTTGTCATACATATTTTTATCCTGTGACTTACTCATGTATTAAAAATAGTTGAAGTTTTTAAAACTAAAGAATTAACTTACATTACTCCGTGATGGTACAGTAACTGGTTGGACTAAATACAAAATATTTTGATCGAATTATTTCTATAGTATATATTTTAAAATACCTGGTATAGCTACATTTTGAAGATTATAATCTTTTTGATCAGTAGTACCAGATGGTGCTGCTGCTGCTGCTGCTGCTGTCGTTATCTGTCCAGCCATTGTATTGAAATTGAAATGACATATATTGCAAATATATTTTAATTTAATATAAAAAGAAACGAGAGAGAGAAAATTTAATGGCTTCCTTTTGTATATTCTTTATTAATTATTTATTCGTATTAATAATATATAGTATATAAATAATCCTGACTTTTTTTTTTCTTCTTCTAAGGATTAGTTATTGATCATTATTGAAAAAAAGTTATGATTGTTAAATAACGAAAAAATGCGTTTGCTTTTCATGAATAGATTAATAATTAATACAACAGACGTGTAGATTGTCATTAGTTTTGAAAATAAATAGTAAACTTCGTGCCTATATGATTTAACAATTGAGAAAACTAAATTTAGAAGTATCAATGATAACTAATAATTCATATGCTTAGTTCAAATATAACAAACGAAGTATGTTAAAAGAACTTTCCAATCATATTAAGTTTAAAACTAGATATAGTTCACAGAATGCAAGTCAAGCCATCAGCATTATTATATTCATAAACAATATAAAAAAATAATGTATAATAATAAACCTTGAATAACAAACGAATAGATCATTAGTTGAAGCCAAAATCAGACAGAAGATATTTTATTCATCATAAAATACAAGGTTACAAATCAAAGAATTCAAGTTATAATATATATATAACAGATTGCAAAATATTTTCTTTATTTATGATTTTGAGTTAAAGAGTTGAACATCTGTTTTTATTTATGGCAGGAACTCAATTAATGCTATTTATTGGTTTGCTTATGAATTTATGCAAACATTAGTTACTTCGCACTTTAATTCATCATTTTTCATTTTTTTGATATAACGTAAAGTCATGAACATGATCTTTTTTTGCTACATCACGTATGTACATACGTGTAGTATATATAAAAGATAATGAATATGAAGAGGTCAAAGAAGTAATAATTATTAATGTTGATAACAAGAGTCTTCCTTCTTTTTTTATTAACGTTCTTTTTTTTCTTGATACACATAGAATGAAGAAAAGAAAACAAACAAACAAAAGACAAATATGAATTTGAGGATCTTATCGTTCAATGAACAGAAAAAGATGATCGGTGTAGCGCAGAAACACATACACAAACAATAAGAGAAAAAAAAAGAAGAAACCATCTATGAGTAAACATAATCGCAAAGAAAAAAAGAACAAAAATTTTCATAGCTGTTGGTTTTTTTTCATAGAAAAAACAAATGAATACAGAAGCTTGACTACACACTCTCATTCAGTTGAGATTCATCTCATATATCTTAAATAGAAAAGGAAGAATGAAAATATTTTATTTTAATATAAAATCAAACAAATTACTTCTTTTATTAATCATATGCGTAGCCAGGACTTCGTCGTCGGCGTTCACCACGTCGAGATCTTGATCGACTTCGACTACGTGAACGTGATCTAAAGAAAATATATTTATGAATAAGAAAAAATAATTTTAAACGAACTTTGATGAATAATCATGACGGCGATGATGATGATGATGTCGTCGATGATATGATTTTCTATCTGGTGATGGTGAACGACGATTGCTATGGCCATTTGAACGGTGATAGGAAGTTGTACGAACACCCATGTATATTCCAGGTGCTTTTATAGAACAAAAAAGTAAAATTTATTTGAATAAATAATATTTTCAAAAGATTTACTTGGTGTATGTGCACGTTTTGTTACGGAATAGTCAATACGTAAACGGTGATGATCGAGTTCAACTGAATTAAGTGCTTCTTTTGCCTAAAATAATGAAATTATATTTATTAAAACAAAGAAATAAATCATACTCGTGTAGCACTTTCAACTTCTTCGAAATAGATAAAACCAAATCCTCTCGATTTATTAGTTTTTTTATCAATGACAATTTGAACATCTTTTATACGACCAAATTTATGAAATAGATCTAAAAACAATAAAATTTAAATATATTATTTTATTTAATTATTATAATCATAGACAAACCTTTAAGATCACGTTCATTTGTGTATTGTGATAATCCAAATACACCTAGACAAGCACTTGGTATTGGATTTTCTCGGTGAACTTCACCAGGTGGTGGTGGACGACGACTAGCACTTGGTGAACTACGTTTTGATCGATGATTGGATGGCGAACGAGAACTATTTTAAAAAAAAAGACAAATAAAATATTTATTACACCAATCGAAATTAATATTTTTAGTCAACTGTGAGATCAAAGCTAAAATTTCTCAATTCAAGATCTTCGCTGTTTCTTCTATTGATTATTATCAGGTGCAAAATACATGTAACACAGTTAATTGACCCATTTTGATAAATTTTATGTACTGTAAACATGCGCAATACTTCTATCTTTTTCAACTATAATAAAAATATTGCCACGATATCACTACAGTATCATGTAATTACATTTATTATTTTGTTGAGCGAATAACAACATCGTCTATCTAATCAATCGAGCATGTCGATAGAAAAAAAAAGAAGTTTTTGTCTACATATAAGTCTCGAAATATCTGTAAAACACAAAAAAAGTCTTCCCAAACCTTGTATAATATTATCTTCTAGTTTAATATGGGCGAAAACTTTCATAAGCCAATAATTCCTTTTTTTCTTCTATAACTTCTTTTTCCCAGCGTATTTCAAATGAAGAATCTTCTTTATCTTCTCATCAATGTTTTTCATACAAAGAATATTGCATAGATTTTTTCAAACAATCGATTTTGTTGTCAGGAATAAAACCTACTATCTTCGTGGTGATGGTGATCGACTTGAAGGTGATCGTCGTCGAGATCGTCCAGTATCTCGTTCTCTTGAATACTAAATTAAAAAAAAACAAACAAAAAATTATATTTTATTACTATATATTATAATTTAAACATACTCCGTGATCGCTCATGTTGCGCCTATAGAATTCTAATGAGATACGAAAAAAGAAAAACAACAAGAAACAAACAAAGACATGTCATTGTAGCGACATATTACAATTTCATTGGTTGATTTATTTGAACCTATGAAAAAACGATCATGTGAATTCATTGTGCCCTGACTCATTTAAACAAGAAGACAAGCGAAAGAGCGCTATCTAGCTTTGCAAAAAAAAAAAGAAAAACGACAAGAAAGTTTCATCACGTTCTTCCTGTTTGTTTATTTAGTTTAAAACAATGAAATTTCGTTTTAAATTTCATACACAAACTTATTCAATAACATCGGATGATATTAATGATGAACTAACAATTGTTGAATTAAAAAATAAAATTAAAAAACGTTTTTTATCCTTGAGAAAGTAAGTGTTTATTTTTTTTAAGAAAAAAAAGAAATTTCTTCAAATTCTTTTCTTAGGTCAAATTTTGATTTGTCAATTAATGGAATAAATCTATTACATGATGATGATAAAATATCAAAATATAATCTTTTTACTGGAGATATATTATATATATTAAATGAAACGATGTCATTATTATCGATAGATCAACCATTAACACTTGATGAAGTACAAGATTTACATACATATCCCTTATCAATACATCGTCTTGTGGAATATTCACATCCAGAAAATGATTTTGATTATATTGTTTTAGCCTTACATGCATTAATGCTTGAAAGTGGTTTTCAAATGGTAAGAAAAAAAAATATTTTTTAAGATAGAAATAAGCAATTCTATTATCTATAGTCATAAATGTCAGTTTTCTTTATTCAAACTCTATTTTTTTGAAAAACTATTAACTTCAATTGAATCTTTTTTTTCTATATAAAACTAATAATGTACTCGAATAAATTTTTAGGAGAAGAATTTCATTGACGTGTAGTTACTTTTTATTATTTAATGTTTATGGGTGAACGTTGAAATGTACTAATCAATAGAGAGATTCATTGTTTTCAAAACAAATATGTGAACAGTACACGCCTATATTTTCTTTCCGCTTATGTCTACAGAAGAAAAAGTTTTTATCATTTGATTATCTTTAATATAATTAACCTTGGAAAGTGAAAAATCAATTTTAAGAGGAAAACTAGTTTGAAAATGCGATACACTCAATAACCTAATTGCTTTTTTCTTGCGAAAAATTATTCTAATTACTGGGGAAAATCAATATAAACAGATGGGATTTCCTGTCATATTATATTATCTATGTCACTATTTGAATCGGATTCGTTTCACTTGACTTTTTTTAATACAAAATATGTTCACTTCAATCGTAGATCTAAATAATTGATAGTTAGTTGTTTATTCCATAGGGATCTAAATTTTGTTTACCTTTAATCTAATGCTTTTATTTCTTTTTTAAGGATACGGATAATGATTATGATCTAACAATAGCACGAAAATCATCAACATTTTATGTTATTCGTTATCGACATAAACTATGTGAAGAAGAACGTATTCGATGTTCACTAGCAATTATGAAAACAGATTCATTAGTGACTATTGATGGTAAAATTTCATCTCAAGATAAATCATATCTATAAATTTCGCTTTTTAGGTGTTGTTAATCCAATATCACAAGCATGTGGGAATCTATCATTTAATATTGCAAGTTATTTGTATCCACAGAAAGAAGGTAATAATTGCATTGAATTAAGAGTCAACTATTTGATTATTAAGATAAAATTATTGACTGAGAAACATTGTTGATTATGAAAAAATTAGTTCATGTATAACAATGATATCTTTGAATAATTTTATTTTTCTAACACGAGATAATTTGCATTTATTTTCTTGTTAGTATAATAAATAGAATTACATTATAATCTAACACGATTAGATTTCGATAAATTATCGATTATGCATTATTTTGTAATGCTAACGAATGTATTACATAAGTGAAGAAATTATTCGATAGTAATGTTATTCTATTATTTTTTCTAGCAATGGCTCTCAATGCAGTCTTTCCTTACCATGACTTGCAAAACCTTTCACGATCATTTAAAGACAATTTGGCAAATCGTTTATTATGTAAATTACTAGAAGGTAAATATTGAAATCTAAATAAGAATGATTTTGATAATATTTTCTTAGAATCAGGTCAACGATCTTGTGCAACATTAATTGGATTACCAAATGAAATTAAGGTATGATGATATACTAAATACATATAGCAATAAAACATATTCTTCTGCTTTTAGCTTCGTTTAGCGAAATATCTACCAATTAAATCGTTACTTGCATTACAAGCTACATGTCGCGATATTCATAATACATTAAATGACAATCTTCTTTGGCATGACTTATGTATTCGAGATTTTGAAAAAGCCGGTAAGATAATTTATTTCGAAAAAATAAAATTTGTTTTTTGTTCTTCAGCTTTAGTTTCAATCCCTCATACTCCAGACAGTTCAACAAATGGAAAAAATTGGTATAAACTCTATCGAATAATGTACGCTCAAAAACAAGCAACACTTCGACATCAAATAAAGTCATCTCCGTTTTTTCATCCACCATTATTCCCACTAATTCCACCCGGTCATCCAACACATCGATTACTTTTTCCAGATACATCACCTCCATTTCATCCATTTTCACCAACAATTTATCGACCTATTCCACCGGGAATTTTTCGTAAGTTAATTTTCAAATACAACAAAATAGATTATAATCATTCTTTTTTTCTTTCTAAAACAGGCATTTGTACAGCAAACAATCAACAAGCTCAATCTCCTCAGCAACCACAAGCTCAACCTCATATCTATTGTCAACCATTTTTTGGACTGAAATGGGTTGTAATTTTCGCAGGTATGTATTTTTTGCTTTAAATTAGTTTATAGGAGAATGTTGTGAGATAATAAAAATCCAATAAATAAGATAGATTAGTTTTGGATCATCTTATCAATCATAAAAAAATAGACATGTCATGATTTTTTGTTATAAAGTCTAGACGAATAAAAAGTTTTAAGAGAGAAAGCGAGAATTTTTGATGTTATATTTTCAACAGTTGTAAGTTTCTGTAGCCTTGATTCGAAAAAAATTTTGTCGTAGTTTTCAAGGATAAGAGTACTCAAAAATTCCGCAAGAAGTAGTTTTATAACAGATTTTAAATCTATATATCTTTTATTTTTTTCTATAATAGCTGCTACAATGATTCCATTACCACCATGTTTTCATCATGTTTGGCTTGGCTAAAATTCTACTCCCTTTTTTTATTCTCATTTAACCACGATCGTTAGATTTTCACATATATATTTTGTGTTGCAATGTATATAGACATATTACGGTCTCTCTAGTGCATCTCACCTAACATAATCGTTTTTTTTCTCTCTCTCTTCTTGTTTCGATGTGTAATTACGGTGTGTGTTGTTATTGAACATTTTTTGTGCGTGTGTGTTATTACTAGTGATCTGCAACTCCTCTATTCTCTCTTTTTTTTTTCGTTTGTTTACTTGTTTGTTTTATCTTTCTCTTAATGAATAAGAGAAGATAGTAGTTTATGTGCTTTTTATTATTGTATCAGTGTGAAATAGTAATTTTGAAAAAAGGAAAAAGCAACAAAAAATAATTCTAGCATGAAGCTCATTTATATCCTTCTTTTGCGTCGGGCATCATTTAGCTTCCAAAATCATTTACGGGTGTTGTGTTTCTATCTCTCTCTATCTCTATCTATCTATCTAACTATTATTCTATAACATATTGATTTGTATTGTTTGTTTTCTTTTGCACACATTCACTCTTTATGATATTTGTATTAACGTATGCTTAGATAGCAATACTTAACGGAAAACAAAAAAAAAAATAGAAAAAAAAACATTGGTTTTGTTTTGTTTTGTAGACGTGCGTGCTATATATTTCTTTCAAACATACATTCAAGCATGTATAACAAAAAATATTGAGCGTTTTCATGTATACCCGTTCGTTTATTACATTAAACAATATATATACATATATATAATCAACGTTGTTTCTGTTTTTTTTAGATATTTTTTTGTTATCCAAAAATGTCATCATTTGCACCAGATGATGTACTTTTGGATATTGAAAAATTGGAAACTATGTTAACAAATAGTAGCAGTAGTAGGAGCAGCAGCATTAGTTCTTGTTGTGATTCGTCATTATTTAATTGTCAATCAACTTCACCAAATTCTCGTTCATTAACAACAACGGCACGTTTTACAGGATCATCAAAAATTTATTTAAGAAATTTAAATAAATTATTAGCAGATATTGAACAAAAACAAAAGATTCTTGCCATTGGTGGAGGATCAGTTCTTAAACGTTTACGTCCATTAAATTCTCCATCGTCATCATCATCATCACGTTCTTTAACATTTACATCATTATTTTCTCGTCCGTCAATTAAATGTATATCAAATAATCGACTTGAACCAAAGACAATTTCGTTCGCTCAATTGATAACACAAAATTCTTCAGTTCCTCTTACATATTCAAATCATCAATCACAATATGGTTGTGCAAGATTAAATGAAAAAATGTGGGTTGTTCACTGTCGAGAACAATTAATTAAAGCTGTTAATGATGAAACTAAAGAAACCTTAAAAGAAGAAGTAAGTGATCTATATATTTCAAAAGTACATCTAATCTATAGAATTAATAATCTCATTATAGTAATTATTATAAAAGAAGAGTTAAAATATACTCCCAGGGTGACAGATCCGATAGTAACTCGTCTGAATCCTGGTGCGGGGTTCCGACAGGAAGTTGTTAGATGTCAGAAAGTGTCGGAATAACCTCGGTTCCTGTCGGAATCTGATCATTCCGACAACTTCCGATAGGATTCGATCGACATTCTTCGGATCCGATGGGGTGACTTCAACCTAAACTCGTAAATACTGAATTGGGTTAAAAAAACATCAAAATTGTTATAAATAACATTTGAAGGATATAGAAATCGACACATATGTTTTTGTTTTAGGGTGATCTTGATTGGAATCATATATCAGGTTATCGTCTTGAAAACAAATGGTCAGCCAATGTATGTAAAAATGCATGGAAACAACTTTGTAATCCAACTATCAATCAATCAAAATGGAGTGTTAAAGAAGAACGTCGTTTAATATCAATTGTTGAACGCGAACCATTGGATGCAAATCGTTGGATATCAATTGCTAAAGAATTAGGAACGGATCGAAGTGCGTATCTCTGTGCAAAACGTTATATGCAGGTAAAAAGACAAATAATTCATGCTTCATTTTCTAGAGTGAGAGTTCACACACAGAACACATCTTTTCTTATCAATCAAATACCCACCAAAAAACTAAAGTAATTGCATACATATATACAAAAAACATCTATATATATAATGGATTATGAGAAAGAAGAACAAGTAGGCTATATATATGTATAAATATATATATATCATCATCTTTATTTTCTTCAGCTTCATACATATATAATTGTCTCGTTTGGGAATAAAAAGTAGGTAGAAAAAAAGAAAATACATTTAAATTCGGTCCAGAAGTAAGTTTCATTCGTAAGAAAAAGTCTATTCAATGGAGTTTTTCTCGATAGTCGTCCTCTGCGTTTCGAATGGTTACAAATCATTTATTTTATTTTGCAAATTTAAAATAAATTATAAATAGATGATATGTTATTAAAAGTAAATATATATTGCAACAGAATCTTTGATTTCTATTACGGCTCAAAATCCATATACTCAAAAAAGGGAATAAAGTAAAGTATCTTCTCTTTTTAATCCATATACAGCTCGTTAACGTGTTTTTGATAATATATATCAGAGTAATCCATTTCAAAAACAACATACTAAGTAAAACAATACTGATTTCATAAAATATTTTTAATACTAATAAAATATTTTTTATATTTTTTCGTTCAGATAACTAATGAAAAATATTCGAAACGTCCATTAGAATTAAATGAACGTAATCAAATTATATCGACAATTAAAGATGATAATCAAGGTCATTATACAAAATATAATAAATTAGCATATGAACTTGGTGATCGTACACGAGAATTTATATATAATCAATGGGTACATATTGATCCATCATGTAAACGTGGTCGTTGGTCGGATGATGAACATGCTCAATTATTAAAACGTATTAATCAACAAACACATACAATAACAAATTGGCCATTAGTTTCAGCACCTGTTCAAACCCGTTCATCTCGACAATGTCGTGAACGTGCTTTAGATACATTAAAAAATGGAAATCGTACAACAAAAGAAAAACATCGGCTATTTACAGCTGATGAAGATCGTCATTTACTTGAACAATATGCTATACATGGTGCTAAATGGTCATTAATAGCAAAAGAATTTTCTTCTCGTACTGATAATTCTCTACTTGTTCGTTATCGTATGTTATTAAAAGCTCAAAAACAATGGAATTGGTTTTGTCAAATAAATAATCGAATGAAATCGTTTCTTTTATTTCTCTATGATAAACAAAGTAATAATAATAAAACAAATTCTATTGATATTCTATCAATATATGAAAATGATATTCGTCAAGATATAGAACAGTTTGGATTTTATCGACGTGGTTTACCATTTCCATTAACGGATGAAGAATATCAATGGTTTAATGATAAGCCAGATTTAATCGAGAATATTGCACGAATTGTACTTGATGAATTTTCTCAAAAACGTCTATGTTTTAGAAAATTTAAGGTAAGAAGAAATTTTTCAAATGAAATTTTTCTTTCATCATTTATATTTTAGGCGGAAATCAGATCTTGGTTTACATCATCATCATCACCATTAGTAACAACTATTTCCGATGATAATATTCGTCAAATGCTTTATAGAACAATTCCTAATCGAAAACGAAAATCTGTTAATATATCTTCAACATCAGATAAAAAATCAAAAATTGATCATAATAATGATAATGATATTGATTGTAAACAAGAACCAAGAGTTCCTCCACTTCCATCCATACTTTCAACAACATCACGACATATTCTACGACCAGTAGCTAATCAATTTTTTACTTCACAGTCAACAACAAAATTATCGGTGACAAGTAGTGGTACACATTTTTGTCCTTATCTTATTCTAATTCGAGAAAATTCAACATAAGATTATGTCAATTCTTGTTTTTCTTTTCTTTGTCTTGTTTTATTCTTGTATAAAATATGATATCAAAACAAGTATTTAAACTTTAATGAATGATTCATCATGATATAATATGAAAATATATATATATGTAAATCGTTTTATTTGAGTGGTTTGACTATATTGGTCGTGACCACTTTGAAAGAAAATTAAAAAAGAAGAGGAGAATAGATTGAATATTAATCCATGACTCTTTATTTTTTGCGTTATTGGTCTTCTTGTAGTATTGATGTTCATTACAGAAATTGATGATCTATTGTAGAAAGTTATCATGTATGTGCTGGGTTGACCTCTTCACATTACTTGAATGGATGTTTTTTCAAGGTGGTGATGACGTGTTATATGTACTATATTTTTGTGCATTAAATAGCATTCAATCAAACTTTTGCCATACTTTTCTTCTAATGGTTAACATAATGTATATTTTATATCATTGTTGGCAAAATTCAAAACTAGTGAGAAATTTCACTTACAAAAAGAAATTCTAGATTCCATTCATCTCTTGAGAATACTATTAAAAGTTTCATAATCATAGAAATTTTGAAGACAATAATTGTAAAATAACTAGATGTAAGGTGTGTAAGTGATATGTGAAATTAATACAATACTCTCGCAACAACACTTTTATACAGATCAATATTTTTTCCTTCGGCTTTTTTTTTCATCTATACTATGTAATTCAAAAAGGTGTTATTACCTGCAGTGAGAAAAGAATAACGACATTACACACACTAGAGTATGTTACGACAATATTAAATTGATTACTGTCCATTTGTATGATTGACAGTTAACTTGATAAAGGAAGAAAAAATGTTCTATTGAACATGTACAAAGATACATTAAATATGAACTAGAAGTTTTGTATTTCTGTCCAGTAAAAATAAAGAAAATCTGCATGCATATCGTTATTTCTTTTTTAAAACAATGTATAATCTTTTAATACACACACACAATCGTTTATAGTCAGATTCAATTTTAATCAAATTGAATAACAACTCGATGTTTACAATAAAAAAGAGAGAGAGAGAGAGAGAGAGAATTGCTAAAAATACATAAATTTTAGACAAGAGTTTCTAATTGTGTATTCATTTTTTGATGTGTCATAGGCATTAAATGATGATTACTATCTTCACTTGTTAATGAATTAATTCCTGAATCTTCATCAATTTCTTTCATTGAATTAAAAGCAATTTGAATTGTATCATATGATGCTTGCTGTTGTTGTTGTTGATTACGATGTTCATCATTATTATTATGATTTACGTGTGATGTTAAATGTAAATTTGGTGTTATCGATCTTGATCTTATAATTGAATTTGATGATGTTTCATATTCAAGATATTTTAATTCATCATATTTAATTCCAAGTAAAATATCTGTTTCACGTAATGATAAATCTAAATCATGCATTTCTTTTGATTGTATACGAGATAATTCTCTACTACGATAAATTGAATTTTTTAATGTTACTAAATCATTTGATGGATTTGTATTATCCGAAATATTTAATGTTAATGTATCATAATGTTGTTGATGTAAAACATGATTTAATTCATTTGATATAGCTTGTTCAACATTATATAGAATATCGGTTTTTTCATTAATATGTTCTTGAATATTAAATATCGAATTACATAATTGTGTTGCTAATATTAATTGTTCTTGTTGAATAGGTTTTGAAGATAATATATGAGATACATCATTTAACGTAACTATTGAATTTGATGTTGGTGATGTTGCAGTTTTTTCTGCCTGATGAATTTTCTCATCAAGAAAATTAAGTAGACGTTTTTGTCTCTCAAGTATATTAGAATTTTCTTGATAATTATGTAAAATTTTTTGTTGATTTAATTCTTCAAGATTAGGTTCTTTCGATGATGATGATGATGATGATGATAGAAAACGACGAAATAGTTTTGAACGAAATTTTGCTGTAGTCGAAGAATTATTATTATTATCAATCAATGATGATGTACGAATAAGTTGTAGAATTGTTAATGGTAATTTATCAAATTGCCAACTTTTATATACTTTGATCACTTTTGTACGACCTTTAAAGATACGTTGAGTGATAACTGATTCATTAGATGAGGGAATTGTTTGAATACATTCAGCGATGGCATAACCTGTAATACTATTTGATGATATATGTGTTATATCGGATGATTTAAGTAGTTCAGATT